CAGCATACGGTGTAAGTACTAGAGATTCAAAGATGACAAGCTTTATTGAACAGGTGTAAAAGTGAGAGTACTCTGGGATGAGTACTCTGAGAAAAGTACTCTGCGGAAAGTACTCTGAGATGAATACCTTGCTGAAGGTATTGGGAGTCCCCCCCTCTGCTGTTTGCCCGGACAGTGATTCGGTCCAACCGCAGTGAGCGGTCATTGGGCGGAGGACAACTTTGGTTTGTAATTCACATTTAGGGGAGTATAAAATTAGAAACATACATATTGTTAAGTCTGTATTTGGCTACAGCCTCTGCCCTGATGCCACACACCGTCTGTCAATGCAGTTATGTTTTGCCCAATTGGATTGATTGACAGGCCGCACCATGCGAAGAGAGGAAAGTGGGTGTTTCTTGTGTTCTAATGTTTGTTTTTCAGATGAAAGATAAACTGCACCTGCTTCAGGGATGACAGTAGTATGAATTAAGGAAATGAGCCTCTACTTTGGCACCAAAGCCCACAATATGAATTGAGGACGATCCGGGAGGAGCAACAGGATTGGAACAGTAATCTACACACACATACAGATGCATGTTTTATACTTTGGACCACGACCAAAAGAGGGGAGTATTGTATTGTCATAGGTGGTCATGGTCCTTAACCTTCTAAATCATTAGAAAGAAGTGTAAAACATATATTTACAAGAACAAATAAATAATAGAAAGGGCAGCCTAAAAAAGCAAAATGGGAAAATTATTAAGTAATTTTCGGAGTATAGGGGGTCATTCTAAATTTAGTGTTGTGCAAATTCAAAAGGAGAAATAATAGCGCTTATAACATCAAACGGATCTACTCTTTAAGATAATAGATCATATAATAATAAGATAATAATAGAATAGAATGAAATAGTCTGGAGCTATAATGTCATTGGATTCGAGGAGCTATAGGTTGAAGTGTCAGAATAAACAATAGTAATAATAGTTAGACTAGTGAATAATCAAAATAGTTCTATTGTGGAAATAAGTATCAATAAGGTCAAATTGTTCTAATAACTAAAGTAAAAAGGAATCAAATGGAGTCAGATTTTAGATGTTTCTGTTTTCCACATCTGTAGGAACTGGTGCAGAGGTGTTTATAGAGAGTAGTATTAAAATGCAGACATAGAACAACAGGCTTTAACACAATTTTAAATCTAAAAATAGCTCAAATATAACATTGCTCTTGACGCAGCCTCTGAGCTGCTCCATTGGAGAACAGGTTAAATGTTATTGTTTATTACAAACAGCTGATGTATTTACACACATTAAGTTTGGGACAACTCTTTAAACAGTTATAAGCAGTGGACAGAAGCCATGAATGTGCTTTTGTTTATTAAATAATTAATTTCATAGCCTTATAATCGTAGAGAACGTTTTAAAATAGTTAAAATCCCTTTCAGGCAACTTGATTTAGATGTATGTCTTTAATATTGGAGAACGACTGTGTTGTTTTTGGAATTGTCTGAAATACAATACATAGAATAATGATTTGCAGAACAAGAACCGGCCAATAAAAAATCGTCTATTGCCAATGCAATTGTTACAATCAGAACTCAAAAATTGGGAATATGCCTTTGCTCAAGCTGCAACCGAGCTTTAGAGTCACAATAGAGTAAAAATAGGAATAGATAAATGCATCAACCATAGATGCTTTCAAAAATAGAGATTATTTTTAGCCAAGGCTAATATCAAACGGTAAAAGGACCATTTCCTTCATATTATGTCTAAAAGTATTTACTTCAAAGGTAGATAAAGTTCATTACAGTTTATGCACAGTTTTATTAGATACTGTCAAATTCACTTGTTTCAAACATGGGTGAATGTTGACAATGCAAAAAGCTAATGAGATAGATTAATGAGATCGATTAGAACCAACACAGATTCAAAAACATTTGAAAGCATTTTAATGTATTTGGGTAAAGCACAAAAGTAGATATTTAGGTATTTTTGAGAATTTAAAAAACTGTTGATTTGTCAGCAACAGATTAGAGAATCAAATACCGTTGTATAGGGACTGACCCCAGAGAAACCTGCTAAAAATAGATTAGCTCCTGTACGGATAATACCAATTTGATTAACGATGTACATTTATCCCAAACTGTCTTGAGAGGAGGAAGTGACAGCACTTCCTGGTTCAACAAAATGTGTTTGGAAAAATGAGCAAAGCCCCACAAAATGGCACAAAGCCACTGATAATGACAGCAAACCACAGTATAGACAGATTTATTAGATAAAAACATATGTTTAAGAATAGGGCTCAATAAAAGCAAAATATGCAAACATATTTGTAAATAGATTAGAATAGTTTAAACTATAGTGAATAGATTCAGTGCATACATTACAGACGAGGTTGAAGAAAGACTCAGAAGGACATAGCAGTAGTCATCAAAGAGTTTAGTGAAGGAATGTTTCGAATGTGGTTTGTTGTGTGTTGTTTGTCTTCTCTGTATTAACTCTTCACAGATAACGAGCCAGAACCAAGGCGATGATGGAAGAGTTCCCCAGTCCCGTCACCCAGAAGGGATATTGAAAGATTGTGACCTAAATTGGTTTAATATAGGTCAAAAGAGGGAATAATGCATCATCTCAAGAAATGCTGCACACGTTGTTTATATTTTCAGTGATTTCATATTAAGTGGGGCCTAGTCAGAGTCGGCCAGACCATGTGAGGAATGCAGAGCTCCCCCAGCCAGATAAGAGTTGTTTGGAGAAGGAGATTGATGTCAGACCAGACCAAGACCAGACCAGACAGAGTCCGGAGTCCAATGGGCTAGCTGGAGTACGCGCCTCCCAAAACCAGAAAAAGCTGGATCAGACTGGACCAGTCTGGGACCTGTGACGTCATCAGACTTTCTGATAGAAACTGCTCGGAGGAGATTTTCAGGCAGTCTGAGCAGGGATAGTTAGACAGGGAACATCGCAGAGCGCCTGGATGTCCCCTGCACATTTTTCAGGCCTGGAGGGACAGTTAGAATGGCTCAGCATAGGGTTAGTTTTAGAGAATTTAGGGCTCCGAGAGTTTTTGTATCAATATTTAATTGTAAAGAGAATTAAATGTTCTATTTTTAACTCCTGCATTCTTGGCCTTATTTCTGTATCAAATTCTGAACACGTCAGTCAAATCATTTTTTGACATCAGCGCAAATTAGTTGAAAGTTAGACTTTCTGCCTAAAACCGTCTGTGAGGCGCCATCTGCTGGCGACCTGTATTACTACATTTGAATTTTGAATCTGGCGCCAACACTGGCGCCGCAGCAAGACCTGACGTCAGCAGCCCCCCGCCCAGAGCAATGTAAACGGCCCAGTCTCGTTCACGCCCCCTTTAGTCCTCCAGGCTACGCCCATTTAGAGGAAGATTTGAACAGGAAGGGCCAAAGTCGCCTCTTCCTCCCAAGGAGGCTGAGGTCCTTCGGAGTGAGCAGGCCTCTGCTCAGGACTTTTTTTTTTTGACTCTGTGGTAGCCTCTGCCATATACTACGCTGCTGTGTGCTGTGCCCTGGGCAGCACAGAGCAGGACAGGAGCAGACTGAACAAGTGGGTCAGGAGGGCCAGCTCCACTCTGGGCTGCTCCCTGGACTCTGTGGAGGAGGTGAGGGACAGGAGGTGCTCGTCAAAGCCACCTCCATCATGAACAACACCTCCCACTGCACAGAACTGTAGAGGAGCTGAGGAGCTCCTTCAGTGGAAGACTGAGGCACCCTCAGTGTAAGAAGGAGCGCTACCGCAGGGCCTTTATCCCCACTGCTGTCAGACTGTACAATAAGTCACTTTAAGTCACTTGCACTAGGACTGAAAAACCTGCACTACTATTGACACTGTTTCTTGATTCCCACTTTTTAATTGTACATAATATATTCTGCATTTAACATGTTTGCATATTTCTTTCTTTTTGCACAAATCTTGAGTGTTTCTATCTATGCCAGATGTGACATATACTTTATTGATCTCACAAAGGAGAAATGTACATCTTATCTTATTGTAGGCTGAGGCAACATCAAATGATCAGATGCCTATAGCAGAGAGTCAGTGTGATCCCTGGCGCTGCTTAGCTTGAGCTCTGTGATCTGGGGCCTGTAGTTAGTTACTTTGAGTTACAAACATGCCTCAGAGTGCTCCGTTGTGGGGCTTCTCGTCCTCAAAGTATGGATATTGTTTTTGCCCTTTTCATTCAGAAAGGCCTTGATAGCATCAAAGCAGCTGACAAATCGCTCCAGAACTTTTCCACAATTCGGCCATCTCACCTCTGACTGGAGTTCATTTCAAATTCTAAATCTGATAGAAGTAATTGTCAATCTTTTTTTTAAATTGAATTTCACAATGTCTTGAATTTTAGTGTTGAAAATAAACATATTGTAAAGGTGTAGTGGTTTACTTTGATTGTCAATAAGAACTTTCACAGGAGCCGAGAATTAAAGTTCGTATAATGCGTTTATTAACTCAATTAACAATACATGGGAGACCCGTCAATCCTGCATGGAGCTCTGCGCAGAAGAAGCTCCCCGTGACTCCTTGCTTTCCTTTTTAACTGCTCCTGTCAATACCAAATATGGAATCTTGGCTGCGATCGAATAACAGGATCCAGATGTTTCCCTAATGACTATTCCCAAACAGAATTCTTTACCGGTCAACAGTGTTCAGGTCAGACCGACCTACTGCTTCCTAAACATATCCCAAAAGAACATTCCATTGCACTTAGGAAATCATAAGAGTCAAACATTCTACCACATATTTCCCCCCCTTTCATGGCTCCCAGCCATGAATTAAGTTCCTTCACTAACTTTTCCTCAGCCATAGCAAAGTAGTTACATGAGTTACACAATAATGTCAAACACTTAGTAAATGAGATAACATAACTTTCAAACACTTGATACATGATACAAAACAATATCACTCTTGAGTGTAGGCGTTGGCAGAACTTGGCTCGCACTTGCATTGTACATTATTTTGATTAAACATGAACTTAAGATGGGCGAGTGGTCAAAAAGTAGGTATACTGTCACAGTCCATGGTCTTTTCATCGTCCAACGAGTCGTCCTCCGCTAACCAGTCCTTGATGGGGAACTGCTCTGGTCGACTACTCTTGCTCTCCGCATTCAGCACTAACATCTGTCTTGTTACCCCTCGCACCACTACTGCTCTCAATACCGGAATGCAACAGCAGAGGACAAGACTTATTGCCACAATGCAAATAATAACTGGTACTCCAATCTTCACCAACCCCAGTTTCCATGATCCTAAAGTCTGCTGTAGCCAGCTCAGCCAGTCCAACTCTGCATCCCTTCCAGCATTCTTCTTCATCTCCAACCTTAGAGCCTTGATTTTCCCCATTGCCTGTGTGAAAGCTCCTCCTACTCCTGTATGATCGGGAATAAATGTACAACAGTATTCACCCACTAGGGCACAGACCCCTGAGGTCTCTGCCAAAACCCAGTCTAAGGCCTGTCTATTCTGCCAGGCTACAGCACTAGTTGCATGCAACTGCTCTCCCAGGGCTGACATGGCACTATCCGTGTAATTGATGAACTGCTGGAAATTGTAGTAAATGTAGTTTATCCACTCAGTGTTTTTATTTGTGGAGATCCAGGGCAAAATGGATTCAAACCCTGACTTAATTTCAGATCTTGCCTTAAACTCCTCTGGGATCCCTCTAGGCTGCCCAATACTGTCTAAATACACACCAGGGTCTGGTCGGAACGCCCTCTTCACCCTCTTACTATCACTTGTTTCCTCCCCCTGTGGGAAAACAATGAGCTCCTGCACCACCTGCACTCTGGCGCATCTTCCGGACCAGTTGCCTGGAAGAACAGGAAACAGTACTTGGCCTCCACACCACCAAAAGTGATCGGAGAGAGGCGTTACCTGACTATGGAACGGGCAGGCAGGGACATACACAGTCTCCAATTGGGGTCCCTTAATCTGGACAGTTCGCTTCAGGGTAGACTTATTACAGTTGGCATTTACATTCCAGATGCTACTACACTTAGTTGCCTTGACTTCCCCCAACCTTACTGACCCTGTCTTTTCTATGCACTCGTACCGGCCCACAGGAAAGAATGCCACACCTCCCGGGGTCCCCATTTTTGCGCTCTGCATGCTTACTCTAACGTCTATCTCTGCACAGCGCTGAGTGTTTGTTTTACCTTTGTGCATAAACTCAACCTGCTCTTTGTACTGCGGGGTTCCCAAATACAACAGGCACTCCGCTTTACACCATACGCGCAGCGGGTCATTCTCTCTTACTGCTGTGTCACTACACTCCTTCCAACTAAACACAGTATTAAAAAGGAACAAAGGATCGGCCCTTGCCTTTGTACAAACGTAGCAGTCAGTCATTCCATTCGTCCGGCCTGCATACTGAACCCACTGATACCAGCTGTTATACTCTGCGCGATTTAGTAGTCTATCTGGCTCTACCTCCTCGGTCTCATCACCTAGCCCTGCACCAATTCTCAAAACAAAACCTCCAGCCGCCTGTCCTATCCCAGCCACCATCCTGTGAAACCAGTCCGTCCAATTTAGGTTAGTCTTAACCACGTCACTGATCTCTGCAGTTTTTAAATTCATTCTATCCCCGTCATGCTTCTCCATTGAGTTGTCTCTCCGTACGTCAGTCAACAGTACGTCAGGATTTCGGTTTTGGCCATCCGGGACTATTAGGTCAGCCCTACTCTGTCCAGTCAGGTCAGTGTCTGCCTGATCATTCTGATTGTCCGCTAGGCAAGCTATGTCAAGGTTGGTAGGGTTTTTCTGCTGTATTTGGGCTCCAGCATCAGTTTTGTCAGTCAGTTCTGGTGAGTCCATCAGTCTCTTTTGGATGGGCGACACCTTTATCGCAGTCCGGTCCTCTAGTTCCGAGGGCTTCAACAGTTTCTCCTGGATCGGTGACCCTCTGGATAGTGTCCCCTCCTCCAGTTCTGAGGGCCTCAACAGTCTCTCCTGGATCGGTGACTCTCTAGAAGCAAGTTCAGTCCCACGTTCTGTGTGTAGAGTTCCGTCACTCTGTCCTGTTTTGTCTGGGCTGGCGGGTAAGTCCACCCGCATGCCTTGGTCCACAGTCATGTGGTCTTTTTCCTCCATCTTTATAACAGTCTCGTCTTTGTACCCCGGAGGGTTCAATTTAACTTCACGTTCCTCAATTCCAGCAACGAAAAGCTTGATCCATCCCACAAAGTATGTCTGTGGTAATTGTCCTTTCAGTGGGTCAAATTCCACCCGTACTAGCCACACATCGCCTTTTTCCTTTATGGCAATACCACAGTCTCTTTCACCCCACGTTGACCTAATCATCTTCTTTCTCCCAAGTGACCAACCGATCCCACACAGTCGATAGTCAGAAGTTTTCACATAAACATTGAACGTGGTCATGTCATCAGTCCAGATCATAAGGGGCATTTGGGCAGTCCAGCTCACGTCTTCTTTGTATGTTCTACTAGGGTCTGTGTACGACCAATTGTCTTCTAGTGGCCATTTATCGATTGCTCTTCTATGTCTCTCGGCCAGTGGGAGTTCCTGTCCCTTCCACCAGGATGACGGCAGGGAACTCAGCGGTACTATCATTGTCATTACCAGCACCACGAGGATCCTCGTCCCCCCCTTCCAAGGACTCATCGCCTTGGCAGCCATGGTCATTCTTCTCCTTTTCCTTTATGGTCTTTTCCTCGTTGCCGTCAGCCGGGGCCTTGACGCAGTGGTTCAGGTGGTACCACGTCGGCGATCCCTTCACCTGCACCGCCGTTGACGTCGCGTTCACGACCTCGTAGGGACCTTCCCTCCGTGGAGTATGCCACTTCCGTCGGAAGGTTTTCACATAGACCAGGTCCCCCGGCTTCACTGCAGGTGGCACCTCCTCCTCCTTTGTCTGGCTCTGCACAGAGTTAATACGAGCAAAAATACTCCTGTGGATGTTAGACAACTGTTTCACATAGGATTTCATGTCATTTGTTAACACATCAATAGGGGGGCCCTTAGCAGCTCTGTACACCGGTGATGGCATTGGCCGACCAGTGAGCGCTTCATGCGGGGTTAGTTTTAAGCTTCTATTGGCGCTCCCCCTATAGGCCATCAAGGCAAGTGGCAGTGCATCCACCCAATTCAAGCCGGTGTTCATGCAAATTTTTAGTAGTTTGTTTTTTAGTATACCATTCGCTCTTTCAACCATTCCTTGACTCTGAAGATGATAAACACATCCTAACCTTTGCTTGACTCCTAACTTTTGCAACACACATTTTACGGTTTTGTCTACAAATTCCCGGCCGTTATCAGCTGATACGTCGGGGAAGCCCAAATCTAGGAAAAACCTCCCTGCACAAAAACTTTGCCACTGTGTCTGCATTCTTATTTTTTGCAGGTAGGGCCTCAATCCATCTACTAAATCTGTCAATGACAGAGTCCATATGCTGAATCAGTAAAAATATTTACTCTCTTACCCTCTCCGAGCTCTCATGCGCTCGTCAGGGCCTTCAGTTCCGCTAACTGTGCAGAGCACGGCTGCTGGCAGGTCTGTTTGGACAACTTTTATAGCGCTGCCTTCCATACTTACAATGGCATACCCTGCTTTGAGTGCCGCCCCATCTCTGTAACAGGAGCCATCCACAAACAATGTCATGTCTGCCGACTCCAAAGGGGTTGCATTCAAATCAGACCGCAACTTAGTGTAATTTTCTGATTCAGTCACACAATCATGAGGCTCTCCCTCAAACGGTAGTGGGATTGAGTCCGCAGGATTTTTCACCTTACACACGCGGATTGTCACATCGGGATAATCTACAAGTAAATGATACTCTGTTAATCTTTGTGCCGTTAACACAAACTTTCCCTTTTCAAGTAGATTCACCAATTTATGATGTGTCATTATTTCTATGGGGTAACCCATAGTGAGCGCTGACGCTTTTTCGTATAGCAGGTGGGCTGCTGCCAGATTCTGGTAACATTCAGGTAGCCCCATTTCCACTGGGGACAATGCTACAGAGTAGTAAGCAATAGGTTGAGCGTGTGTCCCCACATTTGTTTTCTGGGTCAGCACCCCACAGGCATGATTTTGTCGGCACGAAATAAACAGTTGGAATGGTTTTTCATAGTCTGGGAGGGTTAGCGCTGGGACCTGCTGCAACAAAGTCTTGATCCTTTCAAAAGCCATATAACCTTCTGGAGTCCAGATCACTTTTCCTCTCAGGTTTCCAGCCCCCTGTTCTTTAATCATTTTTCTCAGGGGCTGGACAACCAGGGAGTATTCCTCAACCCATTCTGAACTATAACCAGTCATCCCTAAGAATGTCATCATTTCTTTGACTGTTGTTGGCCTAGGAGCCTGTGATATAGCCTCGAGCTGGGCCGGTGAGACTGATCGGGACCCCTCCCTTATCAATCTCCCCAAGTACTCAACTTGGTCTTGACAATATTGCAATTTCCCCAAGGACGCCTTATGTCCTTATTCTGCGAGCATGGTCAGCAGAGTCACAGAATCTTTATGGCACGTTTCCAGATCAGGTGCACACAAAATAATATCGTCGACATAGCTAATTATGGTGCTGGACACTTCGCCTGACAGTTCTGCCAAATCTTCTCTCAAGATTTTATTGAAAATATGGGGACTTAGTTTTAGGCCTTGTGGTACCCGGCGGTAAGTATAGGATTGATTTCTGTATGTGAACGCAAATAAATGCTGGCTTGAGGGACTTAATGGCACGCTGAAAAATGCAGAGCACAAATCAACCACAGTGAACCACCTTGCATCAGACGGCACATTTGTTAACAGTGTGTGTGGGTTTGGGACCTCAGACTGACAATCCTCAATCACTTCATTCAGGGCACGCAAATCGTGTACTAATCTGTATTTACTTTTGTCTGCTTTTAATATTGGCAATATTGGTGTGTTACTGCACGGGTTTGGCTCTTCCACCAGGACTCCAGCCTCCACAAGGCCTCGAATTGTTTTTTCAATTCCAGCCTCGGCCTCTGGTTTTAAGGGGTACTGCAGTCTCCAAGGGGGTCTGCACCCGGGTTTGAGCTTAACCTCAACTGGCTGTGCTGTCTTAATAAGCCCTACGTTAGTGTCATGTTTAGACCACAATTCAGGTGGTACAACAGATAACATCTCTTCCTTGAACTCTGAGTGTTGCTTACAGTTTTCCAAGTGGCACGGGAGTCTGGTAACCTGTGGCTGAGCCCAACCCGATGAGATGTCTACTTTGATATATAACTTGTCCTTGCTTAACCAAATATTTTTGTTTTCAGTGCACATATAATCAGCTTGCATTGCCTCCTGAACCATAGGACCCAAATGCTTAACTTCATAGTCTGGATTTACTAACAATGTGACATGTGGAAGGCTGTTCTTCACCTTAAACTCTTTTTCTAAATATGCACTGTTCTCAACAACCATTGCTGCTCCCTGTTTCCCTATTATGATTGAATATGCCTTAATCTGGACTCTACCTGGCTGTTTTCCGAGCCACTCCTCTGAACATGCTTCAGACTTATCTCTAAAAAATTGTAATGTGCAGGGCATGAAGGTGGTGAAGCCTGGGGCAGATTTGCTTTTATAAAGTCCATCCATGTGTTTGTGGGTTCCATTAAAGTCTGATCAAGATTTCCCAACAAATACACAACTTCTTCTTCCGGGTTTAATGTCATTTGATAATGTGATGCTTCCACAATCACTCCATCCGGTGAGCACAAAATAGCACAGTTCAGCTTACATAACGCATCTCTTCCCAACAAGTTTATCGGGGTTTGCTCTGATATTAATACTGGCAGTTCAATAGTCTTTCCTTGAAAATGCAGGGGCACTGGGTTGGACAATGGTGTCAGCTGCTTGATATCTGAGTATCCAACAATGCGAATAAACTGTTGTGACTTGGGAAGGTGGCGGGAATCTGGTTGCCCCACGCAGGTGTAGGCTGCGCCTGTGTCTGCCATCATCTGGACTGGTTTTCCCGCTAGTAGAACCTGCAGCATTGGTTCCTCATCAGGGCTTGATGTTGCCGCCAGCTGATGACCTTCCCCTGGATTTTCAAGGCATCCCTAGTAACCAGCAGGTGGTCCCTGCCATGAGTTTACAGGGCCTCTTGCTGGTGTTCTGCCAGAATACGGTTCTTGGATCTCGTAGTAGGGATCCTGACGCGGCGGTTGTCGGCAGTTCATTTTCATATGTCCGGGTTGTCCGCAGTTATAACATCTTGGGGGGTCTCTTCTCCATCCTCTGCCTCGGCTTCTTCCAGGGGAGTAGCCTCTCCCTCTATTCCCCGCTTGCAGATAAATCACTTGCGGCGCTGGGGCCGGTGTTGGAGGCAGAAATTGAGGGACTGGTGGTTTAACATCAGCAGACACTACGGCTTGTATTTTCTTTTTCCCAGATGACAGTTGTGTCTGCGTTAATTTCCTCACGGTCTCCTCATCCTCCTGCTTTTGTCGTGCCTGCTTTTTGCGCATTTTTGCGACTGCATCAACGACATGGTCAGTAAACTGTTCAAATGTCATGTTGTACAGTCCGACTGCTTCATTCAGTCTGCTTTGCGCCGTCTCGGGCAGCCCTTCGACTATCCGCTTCCTCAGGGCTGTCCTATGGAAGATGTCATCCTCCGGTTTTGCACCTGTTTGCTTGATCCACTCTTTTCGTGTGTTATGTACGTACGCCTGGGGACTTTCATCTTCTTTGAGGGGTGCCGTAACGATGCTGTCAGGCTGGATTCTGACCGGAAACTTTTCCCTCAGTGCAGTCCATAGCTGATTGCGATATCTGTTGAAAATGTCCCCATCATTGGCTTGGGTTCTGACATACTGCTCCAGTTTTGCAGTGCATAACACTTCTTCCATATCATTCTTTCCCAGAGTCTTTCCCCAAATTACCTTTATGTCTCCCATGGCGATAATGTTTGCAATGGTCTCTTCTTCGAAAGTCGCAATCCATTTACTTGCACCATCATGTAGGCAGGGCAGACGTTGTATCAGTCCTTCTAAGTCCATAGTGGCCCAGGGCACGTACTGGAGATCCCTGCCTTTTGCTAGCAGCGGATATTCTGATCCCTCCAATATAGTTGATGTGACAGCTGGTTCTTGTGAAACGAATGACACTTCTCCATTTAGTATTCCTTTTTCCTGTATGACCCCTTGACCGTTGTTGAATGAGATACGAGATCTTCTCGGAGGTTCAATACGTGCGGCGTCGTTGGCCTCTTCGGTTAGGACGTGGTCATTGGACAGAGATCGTGTCAGTGTGCTTTGTTTCTTCAAGATGTTTTTCCAGGGTGGGATCAGTTTAATCTCCTTCTGACTCGCCCCTTTCTCCATTTCTATTATGCTCACGTCCAGTAATGAAGGCTCTTGTGAAACCTTTTCGATGATTTCCTCTTTCTAACTAACTTCCTCCTCTTCTATATCCCCTTCTAAATCACCATCTATCCCCTCTGCCCTTCTTAGAGACCTTTTTACATCATAGCTGTAGCCACTGGCTCTCCTCCCTTTCCTCCCCTTCCAGGGGAGGAGCTCCTCAGACCCCTGCTCCGCCACAGGTGTCTTTCCTTCAGTGAGAACTGGGTACAATGCATTTTTATCAGACTTCAATATGTAATCACCACTGAATGATAATTTTCTTAAAGGCATCTGAGTGGAGTATGGTGGAGGATTTGCCAACTGTTTCTTAGTAGTCTCATCTCTGGCTGTGACTAATTTGTTAACGTGTTGCTTGCATGCCCTCCACAGAGTTTTGCCTGATTCCTCAAACAGTTTTAACACCATAGATTGTTTTTCCCTTTTTTGTATTCGTTTTTGTGATTTGTCCTTTGGTTTGTATGTTTTAATTAAAATTTCCATTTCGGTTGCCTTCTCCAAATCAAAGGTACCCTCTGGTGGCCAAGGTGCCTCGTGATCTTTCGTAATTTTGTGCCATTTCTCAGAGCAACTTTTTATTTCCTCTGCCAAGAGCGGGTACTTTTTTCCTAGAATTTCTACTGGGTTACAACTTTGCGCTTGCATTTGCTGCTGTGGGGCATTACCGCCACGCCCAATCTTACAGCGCCTCATTGTTTACTTAGGTTGCTTTCAATAATACTATATGGGTGTAAGCCAAAATTTAAGTGGGAGTTGTGAATTTAACAATGAGAGAAGCTTTTAATATCAGTTCAAAAGCAAATTGTACTGTTTTGTGAATTTAACAATGAGAGAAGCTTTTAATATCAGTTCAAAAGCAAATTGTACTGTTTAGGAGCAACCCACAATCTCTCAGTCGGTAGTATTTAGAGACAAAATGTTTCACAGCACAACAATGACAGCTTGCTGCAATTCAAAAATGCTGTTTAAACAAGACCTGGTTTGTTTGGACAACAGAATATATTTTAAAATTGTGTAAAATTAGGTAATACAGCCTTTGAAACCGTCAACAAAACCCTAAGAGCAGTCCCAGCTCAAAGTTACGCCTCCGTGCTTTACTCAGAGCACAGGAGAAGTAGGAGAGCAAAGGGAGGGGGCTGTATGTTAGGTTAAATTTAAATCAAATAACCCTTTTGACTTCACCATTAACGGCACAAAGATATAATTGTACGTACTTAATATGTCTATATATATTTGTAAAAGAAAAGCTTTTCACTGTAAAATCAACACGCAAGGAAA